CTTTCATTCTGGATCCATTCCCTTCCTTTTTCAGACTCACTAGCTGTACCCGGCCACGCGTTGCTGTGGCCCATTGTGGAGAAATGGGAAAGAAAGAAAATCATTTATTTATTTTATTTATTTATTTACTATTCTTGTATACCGCTGTATCTCAAGCCCGAGGGCGACTCACAGCGGTTTCCAAACAGCAAAGACAATAAAAACAGCAATAATCAATATACAAAACAGTTAAATTACACAGTTCCATTAATAACCAATAAGCAATCAACAATACACAATTATCACAAATCCCATCCCCCCGATCGCCTCATCATCCAAACGTGATCCAAATTCGTCGTCATTGTTCCGTTCCTATGTTCACATTACCACACTTGCACTGAATTACTCAAACGCCTGCACAAACATCCAGGTCTTGAGCTTTCTACGGAATGTCATGAGCGATGGTGCCAGCCTAACGTCTACAGGAAGGGCGTTCCACAGCTGAGGAGCCACTACCGAGAAGGCCCTATTTATTTATTTATTTATTTAGTACATTTGTATACCGCTAGTATCTCAGCCTAAACGGCGACTCACTGCGGTTTACAGCATTTAAAAACAGCAATATTCAGATTAAAAATATAAAACACATACATATATAATAAACAGTATTGGGCCACCAATACAGACCAATGCATCTCTTAAATGAAAATCATAATCCAATTCATTGTCGGTAATTGCCAGTCCTTAATCAGAAACATCATCGCGTCGAATTAGCCGAACGCTTGCTCAAACATCCATGTCTTTAGTTTTTTCCGAAATATCATCAGTGAGGAGGCTGATCTTATCTCTATAGGGAGGGCATTCCAAAGCCGCGGGGCCACCACAGAAAAGGCCCTATCTCTCGTTCCCGCCAACCGCACCTGTGAAGCAGGCGGGATAGAGAGAAGGGCCTCTCCCGAAGATCTTAGGGTCCTGGTGGGCTGATAGGCCGAGATACGTTCGGATAGATATGTTGGGCCAGAACCGTTTAGGGCTTTAAAGGCCAATGCCAGCACTTTGAATTGGGTCCGGTAGCTAATCGGCAGCCAGTGGAGCTGGTACAGCAAAGGAGTTGTATGCTCCCTGCGCCCTGCTGTTAATACCATGGCTGCCGCCCGTTGGACTAATTGGAGCTTCCGAGCCGTCTTCAAAGGCAACCCCACATAGAGAGCGTTGCAGTAGTCTAAACGGGATGTAACCAGAGCGTGGACTACCGTGGCCAAGTCAGACTTCCCAAGGTACGGGCGCAGTTGGCGCACGAGTTTTAACTGTGCGAATGCTCCCCTGGTCACCGCTGAAACCTGGGGCTCCAGGCTCAGCGATGAGTCCAGGATCACACCCAAACAGCGAACCTGCGTCTTCAGGGGGAGTGTGACCCCATCCAACACAGGCTGTAACCCTATACCCTGTTCGGCCTTGCGACTGACCAGGAGTACCTCTGTCTTGTCTGGATTTAGTTTCAATCTGTTGTCCCTCATCCAGTCCGTCACAGCAGCCAAGCACCGGTTCAGGACTTGGACAGCCTCCTTAGTAGCAGGTGGAAAGGAGTGACAGAGTTGGACATCATCTGCGTACAGATGACATCCCACCCCGAAACTCCGGATGATCTCTCCCAACGGCTTCATGTAGATGTTAAACAACATCGGGGACAGAATTGAACCCTGTGGGACTCCACACAACAATGGTTGTGGGGTCGAACAGGTGTCACCCAGTAACACCTTCTGGGACCGTCCCTCGAGAAAGGACCGGCACTGCAAAGCAGTACCCCCAAGGCCCATTCCCGCGAGGCGTCCCAGAAGGATACCGTGGTCGACGGTATCGAAGGCCGCTGAGAGGTCGAGGTAGCACCAACAGGGACACACTCCCCCTGTCGAGCTCCCGACGGAGATCATCCACTAAGGCGACCAAGGCCTATCCCTCGTCCCCGCCAGCCGTGCTTGAGAGGCCGGCGGGATCGAGAGCAGGGGCTCCCCGGAAGATCTCAAGGTCCTGGTGGGTTCATAGGCCGAGATGCGGTCAGATAGGTATCTTGGGCCGGAACCGTTTAGGGCTTTATAGGCCAGTACCAACACCTTGAATTGGGCCCGGTAGCAAATCGGCAGCCAGTGGAGCTGGTGCAACAGGGGGGTTGTGTGCTCCCTGCGCTCCGCTCCTGTTAGAATCATGGCTGCCGCGCGTTGGACTAGTTGCAGCTTCCGGGCCGTCTTCAGGGGCAGCCCCACGTAGAGAGCGTTGCAGTAGTCTAGGCGGGATGTGACAAGAGCGTGTACCACCGTGGCCAAGTCAGACTTCCCAAGATACGGGCGCAGCTGGGGCACGAGCCTGAGCTGTGCAAATGCTCCCCTGGTCACCGCTAAAACCTGGGGCTCCAGGCTCAGCGATGAGTCCAGGGTCACACCCAAGCTGCGAACCTGCGTCTTCAGAGGGAGTGCGACCCCATCCAACACAGGCTGTAACCCTATACCCTGTCATAGATCAAAGAGTTGGAAGAGACCTCCCGGGCCATCCAGTCCAACCCCATTCTGCCAAGAAGCAGGAATATTGCATTCAAATCACCCCTGACAGATGGCCATCCAGCCTCTGTTTACAAACTTCCAAAGAAGGAGCCTCCACCACACTCCGGGGCAGAAAAGAGGAAGGGCTGGTTTCTAAGCTATCAATACTCAACGGAAGTGGCAAAGCGTCAACCTAATAGAGGCCCATTTCAGTCTCCTTGAGGCCAAAGGGTTATTCTATGGATGTGTGGAAGGGCCCTGGGTGACCTGAGTCCACACTGCCATATAACCCAGTTCAAAGATATTATATAGGTATTATTGTTGTTATTACAGATGTATAAATGTTATTATAGGCATGTACATAGTATTATTATAGACACAGATATTATTAAAGGCATGTAGGTATTATTATTATAGATTTTATTTATTTATTTTGCATCAAAAGCATTGTATAAATTAGTATAAAACAGATTAAAAATAGAAGGAGTTTTAGCAGGTATTTAGCAGGAATAGATATTTAGCAGGACTAAATGTCTTTCAAGCAGAAACCAGTAACGGATGTATGGATATTATTACAGACCTATAGATATTATTATAGGCATATAGATATTATATGTGTCTATAGTTATTATTATAGATATAGATATTATAGGCATATAGGTATTATTATTATAGATGTATAGATATTATTGACAGACAGATATTATAATTATAGATATATAGATATGGATATTATTATGGACCTATAGATATTATTATAGACATGTAGATATTGTTATAAACATATAGATATCATAGACATGTGTGTGTGTGTATATATTGTAGACTTATAGATATTATTATGATAGATATATAGATATTATTATTGTAGATATATTATAGCCTAGGGTTGCTATAAAGTAAAAATGGATGGCCATCTTTCAGGAGTGTTTTGATTGTGCCTTCCTGGACAGCCTTTTCTAACTCACAGAGTGTGCATTTTTGTCCTTTCTTTGAATACTGGACTTCATTTCCCAGAATTCCTTCCCATAACTCAATATGGATTAGGTTTCTGGGCACACACACACACACAGAATCCCTCCCGTGTGAGTTCCCAGCAGCCCAGCGGAGGCACCTCCATGCTGCCGACAACCAAGACCCGAGAGGGAAAGGAAAGGAAAGGAAGGGGGTGGATCTGGAGGAGGGTTCCTCTCTCTCTCTCTCTCCTTCCCTCCCTCTCTCTGAATCCTTTGGGAAGAGAGAGGCAGGGGGTAGCAAGAGGGATATACTGGCCACCTTTCCCTCCCTCTCTCAAGCTGTTCTCTCTCTCAGCTGTGGGGTTTTTCCCCCTCGTCCAGGAGGGAAGGGCAGGGGAGGGTGTTCTTTTAACACATGCTCTGTATAGGCATTTAGGCTTGTGGGCGTTTACGTTCTTTCCGGAGTTTTTTTTTGTGTGTGTGTTTTTTGAGTGAAGGACATATATTGCTTTAGTTGTTGTCTTGTGTTCAGATTTGGTGTCAATTTGTCAAGTGGTTTCTGAGTTAATCCCACTCCTCTGTTGCGCCAGCTCCACTGGCTGCCAATCTGCTACCGGGCACAATTCAAGGTGCTGGCTTTAGCCTATAAAGCCCTAAACGGTTCTGGCCCTACTTACCTCTCCGAACGCATCTCCTCCTATGAACCGACTAGGACATTAAGATCGTCTGGGGAGGCCCTGCTCTCGGTCCCGCCCGCATCGCAGGCGCGGTTGGCGGGGACGAGAAACAGGGCCTTCTCGGTGGTGGCCCCTCGGCTATGGAACGCCCTACCTGTGGACATCAGACAGGCCCCCTCATTGCTGGCATTCCGGAGGAAGGTCAAGACCTGGCTTTATGAACAAGCGTTTGGCTAATTGTGCAATGAAACACAGTAAGATGGTACAACTGAACATAGGAATTGGTATAAAGGACTATGATTGCGGATTCTGATTTTGATTTGTTTGCTGAGGCGCACGTCTATGTTAATTGATTGCTTGATTTGATATGTTCTGTATAATGTGTTTTAACTGCTTTTTGATATTGTTGTGTTAACCTTTACTATGTAAACCGCCTTGAGTCGCCTTTTTTGGCTGAGAAAGGCGGTATAGAAGTTAAAGCAAATTAATTAATTAATTAATTAATCCCACAAATGAACATTACACTTTTATTTATATAGATTGATTGCCTTAGCTGGTATCTGTGTGTGCGCCAATGCCTGTGATGTTCTGATATTGGAAGGCGTTCTTAATATTTCCATGTTCAACATGACCCATGAAGGGAAAGGGAACATCTTGGAAGGAAAGAAGGTTTTCATCTTTCATTCTTAATCTTTGGCTTCTTTCTTGACCAGGGAAATGAGGATTCTACGGAGCCACCTCTGGGATGCAGGAAGGAGACCAAGAAGAGAGGAAGAAGAAATCCTCTCGAGGCGATGATCTTGCTGAATTCTTGACTTCACTTACAGAGAACAAAGGAATAAAGAAGAGTCAAACATCTGTGTTGCAATTAAGTACACATTCCATTGTTGATATGGAGGAGAAAGCATACAAATGCTCAGAGTGTGGAAAGGGTTTCACTCGCAAGGCTCATCTTCAGCGACATGAAAGGACCCACACGGGGGAGAAGCCCTATGAATGCCTGGATTGTGGGAAGAGCTTCACCGACACTGGAAGTTTACATTTACATCAGAGGACTCACACTGGGGAGAAACCCTACAAATGCCTGGAGTGTGGAAAGAGCTTCACTAAGAGTGCAAATCTACATTCACATCAAAGAACCCACACTGGGGAGAAACCCTATGCATGCCTGGAGTGTGGAAAAAGCTTCACTCATAGTGCAACTCTACGTTCACATCAAAGGGCTCACACTGGGGAGAAACCCTATACCTGCCTGGAATGTGGAAAGAGCTTCACTCAGAGTGGGAATCTACATTTACATCAAAGGACTCACACTGCTGAGAAACCTTATAAATGCCTGGAATGCGGAAAGAGCTTCATTCAGAGTGCTGCTCTAAATTCACATCAACTAACTCACTCAGGGGAGAAACCCTATACGTGCCTGAAGTGTGGAAAGAGCTTTACTGATAGTTCAAGTCTACATAAACATCAGAGGACTCACTCTGGAGAGAAACCCTATACGTGCTTGGAGTGTGGACAGAGTTTTACTGACAATGGAAGTCTACGTTTGCATAAACGGACTCACACTGGGGAGAAACCCTATAAATGCCTGGAATGTGGACAGAGTTTCACTTATAGTTCAAGTCTACGTTCACATCAAAGGATTCACACTGAGGAGAAACCCTATCCATGCTTGGAGTGTGGACAGAGCTTCACTTGGAGTTCAGGTCTACGTGTACACCAGAGGATTCACACTGGGGAGAAACCTTATAAATGTGTGGACTGTGGGCAGAGCTTCACTGAGAGTGGAAGTCTACGCTCCCATCAAAGGACTCACACTGGGGAAAAACCTTACAAATGCCTGGAGTGTGGACAGAGCTTCACTTGGAGTTCAAGTCTACGTTCGCATCAAAGGACGCACACTGGGGAAAAGCCCTATGAATGCCTGGAGTGTGGAAAGAGCTTCACTGAGAGTGGAAGTCTGCGTTCCCATCAAAGGACTCACACTGGGGAGAAAACCTATAGATGCCTGGAGTGTGGACAGAGTTTCACTCATAGATCACGTCTATGTTCACATCAAGGGACTCACACTGGGGAGAAACCTTAGAATTCCCTGGAGTGTGGACAGGGCTTCACTCAGAATGGAAGTCTACCTAGACATCAAAGGACCCACACTGGGCAGAAACCAGTGGTTCTCCACCTGTGGGTTCCCAGGTGTTTTGGCCTACCACTCCCAGAAATTTGCCAGGTAATAGGAGTTCTGGGAGTTGAAGGCCCCAAAATCTGGGGACGGACCCACAGGTTGAGACCCACTGCTATAAACACATGTAGTGTAAAAAAGAACTTACCTGAGAGTTCAAATTGACATCGTATTCACATTGGAGAGAACAGTGGAGTTTGACCCCCGAGAGACTCTGATGACAGAGCTTTCCAAACTTTTCATGTTGGTGACATACTTTTTAGACATGTATCCTTTCACAACATGGTAATTCAGTTTGTTTATTTATTTACTTACTTAGAACATTTATATTCCTCCCTTCTCACCCCGACTCCGGGGACTCAGGGCGGAGCACAGCATGTATACGGCAAACATTCAGTGCCAAGACAAGAATTCATTATATGCATGCATAAGCATTAAAAACCTTTGTCTCAATATTAAAATACACTGTTCCAATCCGTCTTGATCAACTGCATCTGATGTAATTGGCCTGGTAAGGTTTGACTAGCAACCCGGAGGATAAACCAACCACATATTAGATTCTTAATCTATATAATGAACAAAATATATTGAGGTAAGTTAATTATCTTTCCTGTATAAACTTCAAACAAAACTATTTGCATCATACGAGCAGGATATAACATATTCACATTTCCCCACAAAATGTGTAGAAAACAACATAGACAATTTATTTATTTATTTACTTACTTACTTACTTTGCTTATATACCGCTGTATACAGGTAAAGGTTTTCCCCTGACATTATGTTGTGTCTGACTCTGGGGGTTGGTGCTCATCTCCATTTCTAAGCCAAAGAGCCGGCATTGTCCATAGACACCTCCAAGGTCATGGAGCACTGTTTCCTTCCAGCTTCCAGAAGAGAAGACTGAGAGGATATGATAGCCATGTATAAATATGTGAGAGGAAGCCACAGGGAGGAGGAGGGAGCAAGCTTGGTTTCTGCTTCCCTGGAGACTAGAACAATGGCTTCAAACTACAAGAGAGGAGATTCCATCTGAACATTCGGAAGAACTTCCTGACTGTGAGAGCCGTTCAGCAGTGGAACTCTCTGCCCCGGGGTGTGATGGAGGCTCCTTCTTTGGAAGCTTTTAAACAGAGGCTGGATGGCCATCTGTGAGGGGTGATTTGAATGCAATATTCCTGCTTCTTGGCAGAATGGGGTTGGACTGGATGATGGCCCAGGAGGTCTCTTCCAACTCTTTGATTCTATGATTCTATGAGTGCCGTTACCTTCCCGCTGGAGTGGTACCTATTCATCTACTCACACTTTCATATTTTTTGAACTGCTAGGTCGCCAGAAGCTGGGGCGAACAGCAGGAGCTCATGCCACTCCCAGGATTCGAACCTGCAACCTTTTGATCAGCAAATTCAGCAGCTCAGTGGTTTAACCCACTGCGCCACCGGGGACGGGGGAGTCTGCAATGTATATAATGGTTATATATATATAACAAGAAAAATATTCATATATATTTGCCCCTTTCCAGTGTCGCTAATTGTCTACACCTTATTAATTCCATACTCGTCTCCTACTTATATCCATCCCTGTTGGGGCTCCCCCCCTCTCCCTTTCACCCCCTCCCGTAATTCCTTTCTTGTTCTCAATTTTCCACTGCAATATTTGATCTGTTGCGGTATCTGGACCATTCCTCCTCTTCCACTCTTTTGTGACATTACATGCACTATTTTTATCCTGCATTATTGTGTTTATATGTTTTATCTGTTTTAGAATTTGATATGATATATTCATTATTGTATGTATAATGTGGCATTGAACTTTTGCTGTAATTTGTACGCTGTTCTGAGTCCCCTTCGGGGTGAGAAGAGCGGGGTATAAATATAGGAAGTAAGCAAGTAAGTAAGTAAGTAAATATAGGAAGTAAATAAATAAATACAGTTAGTAAGTAAGTATATAAATTTCAAAGCAGGGAACTTTGAAATAGAATAATAGAATCCTAGAGTTGGAAGAGACCTCATGGGCCATCCAGTCCAACCCCATTCTGCCAAGAAGCAGGAATGTTGCATTCAAATCACCCCTGACAGATGGCTCTCCAAAGAAGCTCTCCAAAGCTTTAGGTGCTCTTAAACCAGCTGATTCCTAATGTCAGGAGTCAATTTCTGACGGCATGAAGACATCGCAAATTCCCTCCGTGACATCCTGGCTGAATCAATTCTCTCTTTGTGACATTTTGAAGCCAGCAGAAGGCGCTGGAAACCTTGTATTGGAACTTGTGAAGCAACCAGTTCTAATAAGGAAACTGAGAAGAGAGGGGAAGAGATGGGCAGGAAAGGTGTCTCAAAGGAAGTGGTGGTGGGAAAAAGTCCGTAGTGTCTTTCTTTGCTGCAGAGATACAAGCAATATATCCATTTCAAAGCAGAACCGGCTTGTGAGTGGTTATTTAATATTGCTATATAGATTCTAAAGGACATCTGTCCTTTTATTTGGCAACCCTGTTGCTGTACAGTGGGACACATCTCACCATGCGTAGTGGATGTGGCTCTTAATGAGACGTGGCGCATTAGCACAGGATGTCTATGCCCTACACCACTGGAGAAATTACACTGTTTAGCCAGTATCCGAATCATAGAATCCTAGGGTTGGAAGAGACCTCGTGGGCCATCCAGTCCAACCCCATTCTGCCAAGAAGCAGGGGGGAAGGAAGGGGTCTGAGGCCGTGAGGAATGGTGGGAGTTGGAGTCCGAAACCCCTGGAGGGAGGGAGGGACGAAGTTGGCCCATACCTGCTATAGAATCACCTGAGTCACCATTGGCACCAGAACACGCATAGGCATACACACATACTAACCTAGCATCAGAGGTACCAAGGGATATCCAGGTCAGGTAATTTGTTATGCTATTTATTTATTTGAAAGTCAGTATTTGCTTTTCTTTTTTTTTTCTGACTGCACCCGCTAGGAAATGCGTAAGGATGAGGTTGAACTACAACTCCCAGTATTGTAGGGCAATTCCCCGCAACCTCCCCCTCCCCCCAAGAGTATCCAAATTTGGCCATGTTGGGTGTGTGGCCACACTTGGTCCCAATCAATTGTTGATGGGAATGCTCTTTGCGGGCAAACTACAATTCCCAGATTCAGGGGCCAATCACCTCCAAACCCCGCCAGTATTCACAGTTGGCCGTGTTGGGTCTGTGGGCCAAGTTTGGTCCAGAAGCACCATTGGTTGGATTCCTAGTTGCGGGGAATTGTCCTTGGTCCTGGGAGCTGTAGTTCCCTCGCACCCATAGAGCACGGTGAACCCATCCCACGATGGAACTGGACCGAACTTGGCACACAGACCCACGTGGAGAACTTGGGGTCCCAGTGTGGTTGGAAGAATAACAGCGGGTAACAGGAGTTGCTGTTGACCCTTGGCATTTTATTTATTTACTACTAGCCATCTCTTGCCACACGTTGCTGTGGCCCAGGCTGTGCATATGTGTTTTGTGTGTATATGCGTGTGTGTGTATTTGTGTACTTACTTACTTACTTAGGCAATCCCTTGTTTTCTGAGTAAGATTGTCCTCCAGGTTCGGTGTTTGTGTATACCAGGACTTTGGCGCAGCTGGCTGGGTGTCAGCTGCATTAAGATCACTACTGACTGAAAGGTCATGAGGTTGAAGCCAGCCTGGGTCGGAGTGAGCTTCCGGCCAATTGTGTAGCTTGTTGTCGACCTTTGCAACCCAAAAGACAGTTGCCTCTGCCAAGTAGGAAATGTAGGTGCCACCTTTGTGTGGGGAGGCTAATTTAACTAATTTATGAGGCCATAAAAAATCTCCAGCAAAAGCATGCGGGGAATGTGGAAAGTACTTCATCCGTGTCGCAGATGGATGGGGAAGCGACAGCTCCCCTGATGGCCAGAAAATTGGAATGTTAAGTAGCTTCTGAGTGTCTGTCGATCGATATGTGTTGTGTGTCTGTGGCATTGCATGTTTGCCATGATGGGTACATTGCAATCCACCCTGTTTGCCTGCGGGGCGAGAAGGGCGGGATCACTACAACATAAGAAACTATATTTATTTATTTATTTATTTACCTTACTTATATACCGCTGTCCTCAGCCCGAAGGCGACTCACAGCGGTTCACAACAAATACGAACAGCAAAAATTCAGTGCTACAGTATAGAAACAGTTAACAACCTAACACATTACACAATTAATAAACAGTTACTACAATACCCATTCACTGTCGTCTCGTCATCAAAAACATGTTCCAGATTCGTCATCCATTGTTCCATTCCAGTGTTCATTAACCAATCATTGCACTAATTATTCGAACGCCTGCTCAAACAGCCAGGTCTTCACCTTTTTGCGGAATACCATTAGAGATGGTGCTAGTCTAATGTCCGTAGGAAGGGCGTTCCACAGCCGAGGAGCCACCACCGAGAAGGCCCTATCTCTCGTCCCCGCCAGCCGTGCTTGTGAAGCTGGCGGGATCGAGAGCAGGGCCTCCCCAGAAGATCTCAAAGTCCTGGTGGGTTCATAGGCAGAGATGCGGTCAGATAGGTAGCTTGGGCCGGAACCGTTTAGGGCTTTAAAGGCCAACAATGCCAGCACTTTGAATTCAGCCCGGTAGCCAGTGGAGTTGGCGCAACAGGGGGGTTGTATGCTCCCTGCGCTCCGTTCCTGTTATTGTCCATATGTGTGTGTGTGAGTGTGTGAATAGATGTGGTTTTGTATATATTTGCATTGTACTGTAATTTTTATTTTTGGCCTTTGAAGTCCCTTCTGCTGTGTTTTTAGGAGTGATGGCCACTCCTTGGCCTGAGAGGTGTCCTGTGTCTCCGGATTTGGTCTCTCTGTCAGTCCCACCAAGGAACATGACATTTCCATTTGTGTAGAGGATCCTTGCATGCCGCCCTTCTCGGCCCTTGGCCGACTCAGGGCGGTTTCCAATGGCCACGATTCGAGGCCCCAAAACACCACCACACACTTAAGAGCATTAACACAGGGTATAAAACCACCACCACCACCACCACCACCCGCAGACTAAAAGCAGGCCTCCTTTGCGCCTCCTCATGGCATCCTCACCCCAGAAGCGAGTGCGGTTTCTCAAGGCGGAAAATAAAATGTATGAAGATGCAGCTGTTAATAAGCTGCTGTAGTGTATACAACATCTGCCGTGGCCTCTGGTGGGCCAGCCGTGGCCATTCCTGCCCTTGGCCTTGCCTGCCCCTCCCGAGGATCCGCTCCCATCGCCCTCCTCCTGCCCCGGTGCTGGGGTTGCTGCTGCTCCCCTGGTTGGGAACTGTGTGTTGCCTTATTGTGAATGCCTCCTCATTTGAGTCTCCACCTTTCATTCTAATTGCTTGCATTGTTGTGTTTGGGCTCGGCCTCATGGAAGCTGCACCGAGCCCTCCCTTGGCAGAGGGCAGCGGGCTACAAATAGAGTGTTGTTATTATTTATTATCATCATTACAGTGCCTGGCCCCAGTAGCACTCTCTCCT